GCTAACTTTCTAAACAGCCAAAATACCAGGGCAGATGAAAACGTCAGTCTTGCTTTCCTAGGAGTCCTGAGTCCCCTATTCGTTGGGTGCTAAACAGAGAGACCACCTACACAGACTGCCATCCTGATACTTTCTTAAAAGAATATAAGGCACACATAATCACATTAACCACACCTGTGCCCCTACCAAAAAATATCTGTTTCAGAGTAATAGATCATAATTGCAACATTTTAAAGGTCTAAGTTTCAGGGTTTTAAAATTTTGCTCTTCAAACTCAAATAACTTAAATAATGTTGACATTTTAGTAAATGTGGTAGCATTGAAGTTTACTGGGCCTTTTTCACACTTTTGTTCATTGTTCTCCCTAACTTATGCAGCAGGATTTCTCCTAACTGGAGGCTTGAGACTAGGGAAGAAAGCCAGATAGCTGCCTCTACCCCAAGTAGAAGCACCAGGGTGCTTTCTGAGATGCAGACTTGCAGCTTTCACTCTCAAAAAGGTAAGAATCAGCAAGCCTCTTTAGTGACCAGGATGCCGCACTTGGAACTGATGTGACTATGGAGCAGATATTGAGAGCTATGTCCAGTAATCACTTCCTCAGAAAAACCTCAGCTGGGATCCACAGACAAACTTACAAGCATACCCTTACAAACCACGTGCGTGGACTGGAGATTTAACTCAGTGGCAGAGCCCCATGCTTATTATGTGGAAGACCCAGGGTTCATCCCCAGAATCAAAACAACCATGTGCTCAGCATGCCAGAGGCCCTAAAACAGGGAACTGAGGGTCTGGGGTAGGTCAGGGGTACAGTGCTTACCTAGTGCACACAAGGCCCTGGTTCTACCATACTGCAGGGTAAGGAGCGAGGGGGTCACCGGAATGAGGACCAGGGAAATCTCAGACCAAAGGGGACAATTTGAGCAAAGGCATGGAATCACAAATATTTGGGAAACGGAATCATCTGAAAATTAGCCAATCTGTATCAAACCTGTGAACTCATCCTTAAGTAGGATGTCCTTGAAATTTTTTCACAAGAAAGGGATATTAAAAGAAAAACCACTGAAGCAAAAGAGTGAATGCTTAGATGTATGTTTTTTAAAAATTATATGGCAAAAACATGAAGGATGGTTTCTAAAACAAGATAAGACTAAATGCAGAAAATGAGTTCCTAAATGGGGGGAAAAAAACAATGTAAGAAACATTAAAGAAACAGAATGAATAGGAGTTGGTGAGCCAATAGCTGCTAGAGCATATTTTCATTCAAGAGGGAAACTGAGTAAGATTTATACCAGGAACAGATAGCCCTGGCACAGAAGTGCACACCTGCAATCTTAGCCCTTGGCAGGATGAAGCAGGAGGCTCACAAGTTAAGAGGTCAGCCTGGGCTACACAGTGCACCCTTGACACAAGAGGAGGGTGTGGGGGCTGAGTATGTACCTCAGGGTAGAGCACCTAGCTTCAACTTCCAGCAGTATCAAAACAAACAAAACCAAAAAACAAAACAGAAGGCATTTTTCCTATTCCAACTGCATATCCCAATAACAAAATAGATGAGAGACCAGATTTTTATCCTCATACTCCATCCTTTCTGAACTTTACCATTTGATTATTTCTGATCCACACCTCCCCACTCCATCTTACATGTGGCTTTACATACAAACTAGAATGATCTGTGTAACTACATATGTTGGTTTGCTACGGCTAAGACTGGGTGGCTTGAATCACAGAAATTCACTTTGTTACAGTTCCGGAGGCCACAAGGCTAAATGACGATGGCACTGGGCAGGATCTCTCCTCAGGTAGAGGAGGACTGTCCTTCCTATACATTCACTTGGTTTTGTCTTTGTGTGTCTGTGTCCTAATTGCTCTGTCTTGTGAGGGTACCAGCATATTTGATAGAGGTTCCAGAACTTCCTTGTATCTTATGGGTAAGATTCTATCTCAAAAAAAATCTCCAAATATAGCCATATTCTTAGGGCCTAAACTTATGAATTTGGAGACGTAATTTAGTTGATGCTATAATTTTATATATTTTTTAAATTTAACATAAACTTTACTCCAAAAAGCCTGAAATTTTCCTTAATAAATTCTCAAAGGAAAAAGCAAAACACCTACTTGGGACTAGCCAGGCCTCCCCTAGAATTTAAATTCATTTCTGCCAGAAAGTTACCAGAGGGTCTATTCCATCATTCCAAGAATCAGCTCTGAAAGTATCCTGGGAATTTTAAGTCACTCCCTAAGGGCAACAAAATTTCAGACAAGTTGCTTTCACAGCCATCGGTCCTGATAAAAGCAAAGCAGCAATGAAAAGAGAAGGAGGTAGGGGATTATACAGATACATTCCAACACTTGCGTCCAAAGCTGTTAAGTAGACGATGGCATTCTTGATGTCTATGCCCAGAACTTCATAAAGGCTCACAAAATTTTCCTAAACTATAGCTACATTTACAGAAGCACATATTTCTTCTGAAGCAGCATAACTCTTTAGAAACCATAAGCATATTTTTAAAATTTTTATTTCACTGTAATACAAGTAGGCATTAATAAAGAAAATATTTTTAAACAATCTTACTTCTATAAAAAATAAAGCAAAAATTCACAATAAATTAATTAAAGAGTAACATCAGTTAATACACTGTATATCATAATCTTAAAATGGCCAAAATGTTAGAGTACAAGTCATAGACAAAAAAGACTCTTATAAAAAAAAAGCAAACAGATAATAGCACAAAATATTCTTTTCAATGAACTATAAAAGGACCTAGCAGTATGAATGAAACAAAATAAATATATTGAAATATTTTCAAAACCACAAAACACATAACTTGGAGAATTAACAGAACATCTCTCTACTTCCTATTTCTTAGGAAATGCTTCACAATCATATGTAAAACCAGGAAACAAGGGCTTCAGTGCTGTAAATTTAAATGACTATCACATTTAACAAAACTCAGCTTTTTCTCCCCTAGAATTACCTTTCCACTCCTCCCTCAGGCTGCAAAAATTTAAAGTTATTGGGGAAAGTAGGTTATGGACAGAATTTTATATTATCGTGTATTCACTAAATTACCATAATTTCACACATAGAAAGCATTAGCTATGACATAAGCTGCGTCCAAAACTACTTTAAAGAAAGAAAATGAAGGGAGAAAATGGAATAGATCTTTTATCTAGCCTTATAAACATTAAATATTACTGAACCGGGAAAATGATCAGTATGTAATCCCAATAAATTAGCAAACTGAGGTTCATTAATAAAGGACCATCATAGATACTAAAACCATTAGATGAAAGTCTTGTGGAACCTAACACGTGATACTCTTGTGTATCACCATAGCAGTCATTGTGTAAGAGCAAAGGGAAGAGGGCATCTTTAAAATGGCTTTTACTACTTTAGCCAACTGATAAAACTCAGTATCACTACCACTGGAATAATCGACACTAGGTGCCCCCTGATAAGCAGTGACACAAGAAGTACCCAGAAAACTTTCTTGCTAAAAATATTTAACCTAAACTAACAAAGCTTATAGGTCTATCTCCAATTCACAAGAAATATGAGGGATACATAAATCATCCTACAAGGGAATGAGCAAACAAATCCAAATCGAAGGAATGTCTATGAAACAGCTAGGCTAGCCTCTTAAAAATGTTAGTCAAGGCCAAAAAAAAGAGGACAGAGAAGAAATGTCTTAGATCAAAGGGTACCAAAGAGACAGAGCCCCAAAAGGCTAATCTTAAATCTTGAATGTGATCATGGATTTGTGGCTTCTTAGGAAAGTATTATTAATTTTCTTTCTTGGGTGTAAATAGTAATATTGTTTTATAAAACAACACTTATGAGATTCATGGTAAAGGGTCAAATATGCTGATCAACTCACTTTTAAACAACACAGACACATCCAAATATGTTTATATGTTAATAAATGGGAAATATGAACATTTGCCACATACTTGCAACATTTATTTCTACATATTTTAATGACCATAATTCAATGTTAATTTTATGTAAAAAGAAAGTCCTATCAGATTCTTTGCTGCTACTTCCCATCTCTTACAAAACTGTATATACCATCTGAATTCTACTATTTAAAAAAGCCCTGCAGATATATCCTCTTGTCTACTTCAGCTCTGTCCAATAAGCGAGCTATATGTGATTATTGTGTGTTTAAAAGTGGCTAACAAATGAGGAACTGAATTTTACATTTTATTCAATTTTAATACGTTTAAATAACCACATATGTCTAGTGGCTATTATTTTGGACAGTGCAGCTATAAAGCAGACACAAAACTAGATATAAAAGACAATATAATTTATAAGTTTAAAGACAGACCTAAAAAACAATCATTTTATAAACTTTTATCACCATCTAATTCTAAATCAGGAATTGCTTCCTTTGGACTTTATCTCTTTTTCTTTACTACAAAAAAAAAAGATTTTTAATGAAAGTTTACAGAATGAAACTAATAGCTTTAAACCTACCCCAAATCAATAGTACCACCAGGAAAACCACTGAATTTAATCAAATGTATAGAAATAACCTGATTTCAGATATCATAATTATCAAAAATGGAAAAAATGGTCTCCTTTTAGTATTTAATTAAAATAAGAAGCTCCTCTAGAAAATCAAAACTACATATTCTGAGTCAGACGTGGTGGTCATCTGCAGTCTCTGCTACTCAGGAGGCTGAAGAGGGAAAGACATTTGAGCCCAAAGTCTAAGACCAGCTTGTGCAACCACCAAGATTCTTTCTCAAACACACACACTCTCTCACACACACACACACTCGGTGTGATTATAAAACTTCATGAATGTTTTTTAAAAAGTAAATGTATTACAGCCAAAGATACTCTGACATTAAAATTCTTCAAAATACTTCCCCTCGGTTCTAGCAATCATTCTTGCACTTTCTGAGAGTTTTGTTAAGTCCTCTTTTCATGAGTATCTTTAGTTGTACTGTCACAGCTGCCTCAATGTCCTGAATTGATTAAAAAGTTTTACCTTAGTGGTCATTCTGATTTTCAGGCAAAGCCAGAAGTCACATGATGCCAAATCTGGTGAACAAGGTGGATGAGGACACACAGTAATGTCTTCGGCCTGCCTTTCCATTGGATGGTCCTTGGCAGTAGCATTCACTTTTTTGGCGGGGAGGGCATGGGGATCGAACTTGTGTCCTTGCGCTTGCAAGGCAAGCAATGCAACCACTGAGTTAAATCCACAGCAAACATTCACATTTTTTAACACACCTTGTGAAGACACCTATGAAAGAGAACTTCTAGAACTGTTTCAGAACATGGCAGGAACAATAGGATAAGTGTATTTGAGCAACAGGGAGTACTGCCAGGGGATTAATGGAAATGTGTCTTTTACTGTACTAAACTTTAAATACTATACTCATTAACTGTCCCCCTACCTCCCCCTCCTTCACACACCTAAGCACTCACTAATCTACCTTCTACCTTTATAAAGCTCCCTATTCTGGATATTTGATGTAAATGCAAGGATATGTGATCCTCTGTGACTTTTTATGTTGCACTATGTGTCAATACCTTGCTCCTGTGTTAATAAACCAGATATTCTTTATCCATTAGCTGGCAAACAGTTGTATTATCTTCATCTTTTGGCTACTACAGACAATGCTCATGTACTAATGTACAAGTTTTTGTGTGAACTGAGTTGTTTTCACTTCTCTAAAGTAGACACCAAGGGAAAAAAACTGCCAGTCAATACAATAACTTTTTATTTAACAATTTAAGGAGCGGTGTGTTTTTCCAAATGGATACACCAGCAGTTTGTAAGTTTCGGATTTCTCCTTATCTCTATCAATACCTGTTATCTGATGTTACAGCCATCCTTGTGGAAAGGATATGTTTTCTCACTGTGATTCTTCACTTGCAATTCTCTATTAACAATGTTGAGCATCTTTTCACATGGCTAATCCTTATTAGTCATTCATTCGTTTATCTCCTCTGAAAGAATATATTTATATCCTTACTTTTAAAGAATAACTTGCAGAGAGGGCCGAGCGTGGTGGCATGCACCTGTGATCCCAGCACCCGGGAGACAGAAGCAGAAGGATCGCTGTGAGATCAACCTAGCCTACAGAGTGTGAGTTCCAGGTCAGCCTCAACTATATAGTGAGACCCTGTCTCAAAAAAAAGGAATAACTTGCTGTATTATTGAGTTATATTCGTTTTTATACATATGTTATAAATACAAGTCCATTGGGAAATACATGACTGAAGACTGTTTTCCCATGCTGTTTTCTTTTCACTTTCTTGGGAGTGTTATTTGAAACACAGTGTTTGGAGACAGGGTCTTCTCAATGTATTTCAGGCTGGGCTTACACTCATGATGTAGCCCAGACAGGCCTCAAATTCATGGTGATCCTCCTGCCTCCTGCCTCCTCCCTCCTCCTTCCTGTCTCCTGCTGGGGTTAAAGGCATGCACCACCATGCCCAGCAAAATTTTTATATTTTAATAGAATATATTTTATCTAGTTTATCTTGTTATTGCTTTAGGTATATTAAAGAATCAAGAGCCACAGCCATTTTTTTTTTTTTTTTTTTTTTTAGACCTCTATAGTTTTGGCTTTTACACTTAGAGGTCTTCAATTCACTTTGATATTAGATAAGGGTCCAGCTTCATTATTCTGCATCCAGTTCTCCTGCATCTTCTTTAAAAAACAAGATGGGTTCCCTTGAAATCCCTTCTTAACTGGATATACACAGGTTTATTTCTGGATTCTCAATTCTATTCCACTGGTCTATATCTATTCCTATATTAGCATCACAGTGTTTTGATTATTGTTACTTTTAATTAAATTTTGAAATTGGGAATTTTGAATTCTTCAACTTTGTTGTTTTTTTTAAAAAAAGATCGTTTTCACTATTCTGGGCTGTTTCAATTAAACACTAACTTTCAATCAGCTTATCAATTTTTACAAAAAAGTCAGTTGGGACTCTGATAGGGATTGCATGGAACCTGTAACTGGTTCTGGGAGTACTACCTTCTTAACAACATTGTCTCCCAATCTCTGAACATAAGACGCCTTTCCATTTATTTAGATTTTTTTAATTTTTCAACATTTTGTAGTTTCAAAGCATAAATCTGCACTTGCTTCATTAAATACATTCTATTTCTTTTCTTATGCCATTATAGTAAATGGAATTGTTTTCTTAACATTATTCTCATACTATTCACCACCAACATTCTAAAACACTGATTTTTGTATACTGGTCTTCTATCCTCCAACTTACCAAACTCATTCATTATAGGGGTGGTGCTGGTAATTTACGGGGACAGTCTGACTGTGAGGTAATTCCTGCAGAGTCCCCAGAATTCATCCTGCCACACAGTAGGTGTTAAAACTACCTTTCACTACAATTGCATTTTTCTATGTCCAGTGCCTTACAAAGGTATCTTCTTATAAAATACTTATTTATTCAATACCTAAGTGCAAAAGTGCTATACACAATAATTTTTAAAATCCAGTCCAAAAGGAACTAGCAACCTTAGAACAAAAACAGATCTTTGTCCCTCAAATGATGAAGATACACTGCATATGGTGCTTTCCTTTATAACAAATTGCCTTCATGTACTCTTTAGTAAGAAACTCATCTACTCTGAAACCGTAAATAAGGCTCAGTCCTCTTATTCCTTCAGTGTATTACTAGATTCTGCCACACCTTTTCTGAACACAGGTATCAGAGTGATACTACTGCACTCTAACCAACATGGCAGGAAGTTTTAGTGTGTCATAATTACCAGCTTTGGCTTTTCTTTCTCTGGACCCTACTTCATGCTTGAGTTTCCAGTATACTACTGCACTCTAACCAACATGGCAGGAAGTTTTAGTGTGTCATAATTACCAGCTTTGGCTTTTCTTTCTCTGGACCCTACTTCATGCTTTTGAGTTTCCAGAGGAAGAGAAAAAAAAAAAAATAAGTATGGAGAACCAAGGAAAAAGGCACCATAATAGGTAAGGTTCCTACAATACTCTAGTCACTGGTCCTCCTATTCTATATTGCTTACTAATTTTTTTAACTAAAACAATTTCATTCCAAACAATTCTTTAATCTTAGACATCTACTTAGCACTCTAAAGCATCATTTAAAAATCAACCAAATCCTGTTTTGTCTCAGCTACCTTTGCTTTGCTTCTAAGTAATTTTTAAATTAGTTATTTATTGGAAGAATAAAAGCCACAACCTACAAGTCACAATTTTTGCCACGAAGTCCAATCTTACTTAGTCCAGATCTATTTCTGGCTTCATAACAGCTTGAGCTAAAGAAGAATTACATCTCATTGTTCAAGTTAGGTCATAAACAGTCTCTGAAAAGAAAGGCAAAGCAACAGCAAATGCTACATTAACAAAAAATGGTACAAAGTAGGAAAAGAGATGCAGGTTCAAACATATGCCACATGCATGCAAACATAACTGTGCTCATCTTCAAGCTCACCTTCAAGCTCTCACGTAATACCATTTTTTACCTTAATTACTACTCTTCATTAAACTGTATGGAAATTTAGTTTCTCCTTCCACCCACAATGCCCATCTCAGAGATTTACACAGGCCCCTGTAGCCACACTGCTGAAGAGATGTGTAAATCTCACAAGAACTCAAACAGGGCACTTGAGGCATTTTCATTCCACCCCAAAATCATCTAATCCTGAAGTTCTTAGAAGATGCCTTTAGTTTTACTTCTACCCCTCCAGTTGACTCAAGAACTAACAAACAGCTGTCATTAGTCACTCTTAAAACGAAGACTATAGCCTTCAGGGAAGCACTGCACAGGCAGTACCCTCTTCTAATGGAAAGCCACACAATATATAAGAAACCACACACAAGCAAAATAAAGTTCTTTAATTTCTGGAGTTGACTATCAGTAAAGTCAAATCCATCTACACTTTAGCTAGCTGGTAGTACATCTCTAAAACTTTAACTTTATAATTTGTTGAGCCATGAAAATGGAACCAAATAAAGGTAATATTCTCGTTATTTGTCCAGCAAACCTGCTGGGCCGGGTGGGAAAGTTAACCAATCTGAGTAAATCACAATTTTCCAACTTACTTTCCCAAATTAAGAGTTACTTTCCTCAAACCATACTCTGCTACTCTAGGCTTCTCATTTGGGTAGTAAAAGGAGAAAAAAAAATCAAAGGGAAAAGCACCAAATTTCCATTTATCCAGAAGTTTCATATCACCAAAATTTTATATTATCATGTAGAGATGACATATTCAAAAATATCCAAAGACAAAGTTTCTTAAGCGCCTTAAGAGTTTCTCAAGGTAAATGCAATTACATTCTGAAACAGATTAGTAAAAGGATATTAAACAAACAAATGAATGTGAAAGCTGCCACGTTTCTCTCCACCACCCAGGATAAACCTCTCCAAGTACTCAACATGGTGCTACGCTTGCCTTCTACACCTCAAAATCCTCTTCATTAGACCAACTCGGAAGCAGGGACAACCTAGACGCACGGTGGAAACACAAGTAAAGCACTGGTGAGCTTATGTCTCAGAGTCAAAAGGCCTGAGGCTTGATCTTATGCCATCAAAACCAGAATGATCACATAATGTATCATTCAAAGAGCAGTAAAGAGTCTTGACAATGACACAGACAAACGACATAAACCGGAACTCATCCCAGCTAAACAGGACATATGGTCACTATGCTCACAGGCTGCACAGACTTTGGCAAATTACTTAATCTTCAGCCTAGTCACCTCATCTGGAAAAGCTGAAAAAACAGGCACAGAATTATACTTTCAATAACTACATTATTTTCCTACATCTTTTTAACTCTATACTATGTTCTATGATGCTGGCCTAGTGAGTTCAAAAACTCCAAAAGCACCACAAAGAAACATCAAAGATAGGAAAACACACCCTTAGGAGATTATGGATAATTCTTAAGCCACACTAATTTTGCCTTTTATCAGATGTTTCACTTGTAACTGTCTAAAATACTTCTTTCAAATCCTGATACCTGGACAGGCCCACTCAGGTTCGGTTTCCACAGCTTTTATAAATTCATAAAAGCACACTCATTTATTGAGATTTCTTTTAACATACATGATGCCAAATTAAACACTCTAGAAGACAAGAACCACGTCCACTCCTGCTGTTATTCTCAATTTTTGGTACCCAACTGGTACTCAATGTTGAGTGAATAAATGATGGATACTTTAGAAGTACAACTCTTCACTAGCCTTCACTAGCCTGGTGTAAGTTTTTAATCCAAAAAGTGGTTCATAACTACATTATGTTCTGATCTCTGCTCACCTAAGCAGTTCATCATGATGAACAGCTCCACACAATGATTTCACTCAATTCCCTACCAGAAACTTACCTTGAAATCCAAATTGATTTTACACTTTTAGGAGAGTCACATTTTAAATCTTTATTGTGAAGCTTCTGACCCTACAAGCACTAGAGTCTTAAGCTTATACTCTTTACTGGAAAAAAGAAGCCAGAATTGATGATCCAAACATCAGATTATCTTCAACAGTTTCCACTCCTTTTCTCCTACCCTCAGCGGAATCTCTTCATCCAGTCAAAACTACAGACTGCACACACAGAAACTCAGATATACTTAACAAAGACTTACACTTATTAAGGGATCAGAATCCAAAGGGGAAGAACACTGCAAACCAAATTAATATAGTCTACATTCCACAGCACTGCAATGCCTCCAATGAGGAAAACATAAACGATTTTAAATTGTGACAAAGACTCAGGGGTCCCTGAAGCATATCTAGGGTTTCTTTAAAGGAAAAACAGGGTAGTCTCACAAGCATGCTCACTTTCTCCCTGCACCACTACCCAGAGACTGAGACTGTGATGGGCTGGGGTTTCAAAGCAAAACAACGAAGCATCTGACAATCTCCAAAGTTCTACATGACTTTACGGAAATACTCGAAGTTTACTTCGGGCTTCACACTGACAGACTACAGTGGTACACTACCTACTTGCATGATAGGAACAAATAATTCAGGCATTTTGTACTCAAAAGACTTCTCCAGCTGACAGACGAAGAATAGCAGTTAAAAACACTCTTTCTGCAGGTTCCCACAAGACATGAACATTTACCTAGCAGATACCCCACCACCACTGTAGAAACAACCCACAATGGCCTGTTGAAAGTGTAACTTTTACTGAGAAAGAAAACATTAGCAATAGCCTGTTCTAATTCCAAGCTAAATAAGAAGAGCAAGATGAAATTATAAATGTTTACCAAGACAGAGTTAGAAACCCTACAATTTCACTGTCCCCTATCACCCGGTTTATTTTGCTTCGCTGATTTTAGTCAGATGGAAAAAGGAAAAAAGAAAAAAGTAAACACAAAAACGTGTAGCTTCAGTAGGAGTGCAGTACAATTATTAAATGTCCTGAAAGTAGACAGATCCTCAATAATGTTGTTTCAATAAGAACTTCCTAAATCCTTTTCCTTTTTGTTCCTTTGAGAAAAATGGAGAAGCAATTTGCATTTACAACTTGGTTCCTGTTTCCAAAATACCCTTTAACTTTTTCTTTTCTCTTTTTATGGCAGGTATAAATTGCACCAAATTGTCAAATCACTGCTATTTTGTGTGCTACCTATACAAATAGGTCTGATTTCTGGCCAGCCATAAAACAATTACTGCCGAATTCCTTCGGTCCTTTGATTTCTAGCTTGTCCATGTCTTCAAAGCCAGTTCCAGGACTTTTCTCGGGGCACTGCTGAAAAACAGCCTCAACAGAAACAGAGAAGATAAAATGCTCCCACTTCTATAGCACACAAAGACACAACTGCAGAAGCAAAGCAATTCTGCAGCACTGTGGTGGGTTTCCCAGCTCCACAAGAATCAGAGGTGTCCAAATACACAGAACTGCTTTTCAGCAGCAAGGATCCACTACAACTTCTTCCCCTAAAATTGTATGGCCATTTTGCCCATTTTCAAGCATTCAAAATTAAAGAATTATTTTTTGTCTATTTTCAAGCATTCAAAAATAAAGAATTATTTTACTTTCAAACAAATTTTTTGATTTACTAAAATAATGTATCTCAGGGTAATTTACTGGGATGCAAAGCAAGTTCATTTTCTTGAGCATATAAACAACTATACAACACAGTATTTATATAACGTAGCAAAATTCATTGAAGTTAGAAATTTTAAATAGTTAAGTTGGGTCAGAATATCTATAAAGAAAATTTGTGTGCAATTACAAGTTTTCACTATAGTGGGATTTACTCCCACACGATTTATTTTTAAAAATCACTACACTGTATGTGAGAAATATAGAATAACATACACAAATACCTAGCATGTACAGTACACACCTGTGCTCTGGAGTGTGAGGTTATTTCCTGGTAAGCCATAACAAAAGTAATTCATTTATTCTAAGGAAATAAATGTAAAGCCCAGTTGGAGAAACCTTTGGCATCATGCAGCAGTGGCAAATTTAACATGCATATACAATCTCCCCCTGCCCAGTTTCTCATAATAAAATTTTATTAAGGCTGATCTCACACACACACACACACACACACACACACACACTTATATCTATATACCTGCACCAAAGCAAACAAGTCACTTTTTAAAAAAATCTTCCAGCCAACAGCATCACGTCAAACCAATTTTTCAGCAGCTCTATCACAGTATGTCAGGATTTCATAAATTAAGTAGCTGTCAAACATATGACTGTGAATTTAAAAGTACATTTCGTAGTCTCCTTTCACATATGAGAGGTCTTTTTAGATATATGCATAAAAAGTAAAGATTATCTTCTTACCTACAATCTGTCTAATTTCTTTCTCATCTCCTACCACTCGCAAGAACCAAGCCTTTTTTAAAACATTAATCCAGGTCTGACTTCAGCATTCTTCTATGATACTGGATCCAAGGAACCACTTATTCCAAAGATATATACCCACGGTTTTCTAAAAGCTATGAAAGTTAAATCTTAGAATTATACAAGTGAGCCTTCTCATTATTACCCAAAACCTTACCACTCAAAATCAGGGCCACCTGTTCACAACATTGATCTCAAGAAAACTTTTATCTCTTAGGTCAAATCTGGCACCCAAAGTTGGTACAGTACTAAAATTCCCCATAATAACATGGTTGTGTAATCTCTCAAATTTAATCATATTTTTCCTCTGGAGTCTTTTAACCAAAGCCAAATGCATTGACATAAAACACACAATTCTCAACATGAGTGATAAAAATGCATTAAAAGTAACCTTTAATCCATGCTATTAACTGATTTTATTCTATTTTGGCACAGTTGAAGTAACTCATCTAAGGATTAGTTAGGCTTTTCTACACTTCTTTTTATCAGGACTCCACCATCCTTGATTTAGTTTTGAGAGAAAAGGGTTTGCAAAAACTGTAATAATCTCACAGCTGGAGATGGCTGGAAAGTCTGTTAGTTTGCATTGTGCCCTTAATTTGCAGGAAGCCTTTGTGCTCTTTACTCGTTTTACATGCTGAGCAGTTTTCACTGATAAAGTACTTACTGACCAGTTATTTTAGATTAATGAAAAGCCCAGTAAAATTTTATGTGAAGTGGCTGTGAACTTTCTCTTTAAAATACTGAAATGTCTCTGCAGTCTTGATTGCATGAAAATCTTAAACCTGGTAATTTGCCTCAACAGTTTTCATATGAGTAGGCAAAGTCAGTCTTAAAAATTTTAAGAAATATTTTCAAACAGAAAAAGAATCCAAATTTTCAGACTATGAATTCAGATGGATTGGTCAAAGCCTCAGGGCAAACACACTGATTTAAGCCATAGCAGTAGATTTCAAAATTGTGCCCTGTTCAGCCTCAACAATAAATTATTCCCTGCTCTTTAAACCTAGAGCAATTACGCACATATTACACAAAAGGACTAAACAGTGTCAAGATTTTGTTGGGATTTCCAACATTATGACATCCATTTCAGGAGAACAAAGCACTGTTCTAATTCTACAACTAATTCACAGTAAGAGTTTAAAGTTTCACACTTCCTCTTCCTCTAAACTTCAATCTCTCCCAAAAGACACTTAAATATACAATTATTGGGAAGCGCAAGTCAGACTCAACTTTGACAATACCCTATAAGTCAGATACAAAAAGCAAAGTCTAAATTGAACTTTTTAAATCTATCTTTACAGATAATAGAGATTTGTTATATTCCAGACATGAAAATACAAGTGTTAAAAAATCACTCATTTTCTGCTACACTATATGCCAGTAAACCAGAAGTTCAAATCATGACCACAGAGATTGATATCCACACAGCAAGTGTAACATTCACATCTAACATGGCAAGTATATCTGCAATACAGAAATGACAGTGTCTGAAGCTAATAGGGTTAAGCAATTTCTTTTGTGAGGCCACCAGCAAAATCTACAGCAGCTGTCCAACTTTGCCTTTAAAGATCATAGCAAAAGCTCAAGGAAGTGATCCAAGGCAGCACTAGACTTGAGTAACACGATCGCTCCAATTTAATTTTCAGCCAGGGGAATGGATAATGAAAACAAAGTTATTCCTCAGTCACTAAGTTTACTTGACAAGCTAATTTTTACCAACCTTTAACTTAATCATACATGTAGCCATAAGAACTGTGTCTTCTTTTGTGTAGACAGCCATGACAACTTTTAAGTACTGCTATGTGAGATAAGCTTCAGATGGCTATCACTTATTTAAACCTTCTTATAAAAACTACTGAAAAGATTTTAGGTATTCAAGAAAAAGAAAAGGGAAATTCTGTCACTGCTGTGAACTGCTGAGCCAGATCTTTGATTCTATCAATGAAGAAAACTCCAGAATTCACATCATTTTAAATGACTTAAAACATTAAAATGATTTGTCTAAAAGAAACTCAGTTCCTCACAGATCACAATTTTCCACCTTCAACTACTTAACACTTTAAAACAAACAACGCTCCTCACCGCACACATACTATCATCCAGTTCTTACCAACACATCTGAGATACCTACGCCTATTTCTCCTTAACATATAGAAAACAGGTATTTCAGATATCTAGTCAGGACTAATTGATATTTATTTTTAAATAGAAATCCAACATTTTTCCTAAGTTTTTTAAATGTATCAATAATGGAAAGAGAGTAATCAGTTCAAGGATCCAATAAAGTTATCACTGTGGTTAATAACTGCAATATTCTAGAAAAATGTTCCAAAATAATTTAAAACTATGTGGGAACAAGAATGACTTCAACATTCACCATTTCCATATTTATGGTGTATATGTAAATATACTGTTTTATTCAAGTAAGTGTGCCTAAAGGGCAATTTGTTTCCTAAATATCCATTTTATCCAGTATTTAATTTACAATTCCACTCATGATTACTTCTACAAAAGTCTGGGTCACAGCAATTTTAGTTAACTTTCAGGCCAGTATATATTTATATGTACTACATGTCACAGGTAATAAATATTGACTATAAACATAACAGATAAACTTTCTGATTGTAAGTAGATTCCATCATTTTGTACCATCTCTTTTGTACTATTTAAATAAAATAGTACCATATATTTCTCAAATAGGAGAAATGTGGTTTTGACTAACATTTGAAAATTACCAGTGATTTCCTAAAGCAGTAAACATTGTTTAACTATGAATTCAAATACATATACAGATGGATATTCCTGAATTAATATATTTATGAATGACTTGTTCTAAAAAGTAAATACCAAAATACTAAATGTAAATGTGCTTCACTTTTCTTAAGCCATAGATGCTTCAAACAAAATTAAACAAATTGGTTTGCTGTAACCAATGATGGGAGCTCAGTAAGTAAGGGAAAACTGTCTCTGCCTATTCTCTGTGACTTGAGAATCTAACTGGTTATGTTCGTTATGATATACTTGAGGATCTGGGAGCCCCCTGCCTGCAAAATCTCCCATGGAGACTCAGGACCACCCACTGAAAATAGTACAACATTCCTGCGTCAAGCTCGAAGCTTGTCCATGGGATTGGTCATTCAAGTCTTTTAAATACAATTTTATTGAAGGGTTGTGCGAGGTGGGGGAGGGAGTAGAGGGATTCCTGAGTGTATGGGGGAGGAAAACTCAGACCTAGAAAAAACAGAAATTTCTAAAGCAGAGGTTCCCGCAGTATTCCCTCCTCAATGGATCCCCAGTTTTTAAACAGCTACATAAACAAAGTAATAAGTGCTCACTTTCAGAAAGAATTACATTATACTCCATTTGAACACGCTACAAAGTACTTTTATTTGAAAAGCTGCTTCTCTTCTGTTATAAACAATTTTACTCAGCAGCAATTTCAGAGAAGATAGCTAGAGAGAGTGGGAGGTGGGGTTAGGAAAAATTCACTCAACATCTTTCAATGCCTTAAACAGTTGATCCAATAAAGATCCTTTAGAGAAAACTTGAAGTCTGTTTTTTTCCTCCAAGTAAGCAAATCACACAGCAGCGCTTTTCTTTACTAGGGTACTGTACCCCTGTCTCTTTAAATCCCAGGCCTGCCCCATTTCCCACACATTCAATGAAAGCCCCACGTTTGCTGGCCTCCAGCCCACAATGTCAAGTAGTTTTCTAGCTATTGAATTTCAAGATTATTCTTTTGGATCATTTGCCCTTTAGTTTTAAGCATGCCAAAGCAAAAATAATGTCTTCTACAATAACACAAAGAAAACTCAGAGGTCTTTACAAGCCCACAAGTAGAGAACACCTCACCCTTTGGCTCCCTTTTCATTGCCAAATATGCTCCCACTACGTATGCTCCAAATAAAGGCTACTTATATGCAGTCTTGGACTATCATATATCATAGCCTTGTCTGTCCTGTAACAAAACTCCACAAGTACGTTTATTTAGCACCAAATTTGTAATGGCTAACAACCTACAACATCAAACCAGATCTTCGATCCCCAGATCTATGTGTTGCTAGCTCACAAGTCTTCAACGTGGCACCTTATTCAGTTGGAATAATTTTTAAAAACAATTACTTTATTTTAAAGGGAGTATTTTGTTTTCTATGTTTCTAGTTAAAAAAGCAACATAAATTTAATACTAAAAACAGTAAATAAATATTCCAAGCTATACTCACAGGACCAGAGTGTAATTTCCTCATTCTCATACATACCTTAATCCCGAAGAAAGGAATCCAGGACATTATGAATCCCATTTAGAATTCTCTCAAAGAGACTAAAAATACTTCAGTAGAATTTATCAGCAGACCTAAATTAAGTCCATGGAAAATAATGTTATTCCAAATGTTAGCAAACAGAACTGGAAGAGGCAGTAACTTTATTCAACTAGCTAATAAATACCCAGATCGCAGAATCAAATTTTATATGTTACAAACATCCTACGGTGGAGTTACTCTAACTACATCTTATAAATTTTGTAAAAGCACCTAATACTAAATGGAAAACACCCTTATTTTATTTAACATACAGCTCTGCTGTGTACTCATGCACAATACACTTTTAAAGGAATTTTTTGTGATAAAAAGGGAAAGATGTTTTCACACAGATCATAAAATTATAGACTTAGATAAATTTTAGATTGCAGAGAGACCTTTGAGGAAGACACTATCTTATCTTAGTTGTGTTTATGAAATATTCATGTCAATAGGCCTATGCTTACATAACACATGAAATTATATTTTAATTTTCATTCTTAAAAACTTGTTACTTTTGTAGCATAAATGTGAACTTTTATTAAAGCCAGCTTTGTACTAAAATTGTTAAGTTATGTATCATTTCTCCACTCAAAAAGATGACAACTTTCCCTACCTCAAATACATTTTATTTTAGTACTTATTTTATTTTAGTACTTGTTTTTGGGACACTTTACTTACTAGACTTTCACATTTAACTTCAAATTATATACAAAGACACACAAACAGGTAACTGGTCATTTATTTTGAAATGTGGATCCTATTTATTCTTTTCCCATTTATTCTTAATACCATTACTATGTAGCTAAACAATATGATGAAAGTCCCTTTCATTTATAATCAACTTTTACAGTGGGATGCAGGGCTCTAGGAAAATTTCTACCACTATGTATCAAAATAAATATGTTAATCAACAAAATCATACTTATCAAAATTCCACAGGGAAAAAAGTCCCAAACTTTTAAAACATTATATTCTCCAAAATCATATACAATGAGTCCTTGGTTAACTACAGCTTTTACTGCACCAGCGTGCGGATTCAACCAAACATGGACTGAAAATATTCAAGAGGGAAAAACTACAGTTAAAATATATAGACGTTTTCCTTGTCACTACTGTCTAAATATGTATAAACAAGTATTTATAATGCATTCATGTTTTACCAGGTATTATGAGTACAAATGTTTTTAAGTATATGTGAAGAAATGCATAGATTACAGGCAAATACTATGCCAGTTTACATATAGGGAACTTGGACATCTGCTGTATTTCTCCTATAAAGAGTATCTGATATGAATATTTATGTATCAATCAGGTTAATCTCACGACTTTTACAAATACAACAAACATGAACTGTTAAGAAAGGTAAGAACATGACCTATATGTTTCTCTTTAAGGCTTATAATCAACTTATGAAACATTTGTGTATTCATTCAAAATAATGTTAAGAAAAAATTTCAAAATGACAAGGTAACAACTATTTCAAATAACAAAATATAAAAATATTTGAGATGGTCCTATTCATGTCCTAAATGAGACTTTTACAAAAAAAAAGCTTATTGCAGATGTATCCACGCATACATTTAAATATCTAGTTCTACATTCCAAACATAAGTAATATATGTAATCAACAAAGCTTGAAAAATTTTTAAAAATTTCCCACCTTTAAGACACAACTTTCAGGGCTGGGGACTGAGCTCAGCGGTTCTGCTGCCTGCCTTGCAAGCACAAGGTCCCAAGTTCAATGCCCGGTATCAAAAACAAGATTCAACTTTTACTAACAGCTTCCTGGGTTTTAGGGTTACTGCAGAGCTCAACGGCAGAGGACTTACCTATAGTAAAGGAGGCCATGATTCAATCCTGGGAGCCAAAAAAAATGATTGCTACTGTATCTTTTTACCTTTTCATTTTTATGTTTCAGGATTCTCACAATTTGTATAAAGTGGAACAATTCTGACTACTCTATATAAAGAAAATGAATGAAGTTAAGTACCAAAATCAATGATAATAAGACCAAAAAGGAGCCTCCACAGGAAAATACACCAAGTCGCCTTAACTACAATATATTGTGGGGCCTTTAGAGCAAACTCTAAAGGGTTTAGAATACTCTCCAGCATTGGCATTTGCTGCTCTCACTAAAGTGCCCACATTTGTGTATCTCTGTGTAAAGCGAAACCTTGGTTCTGCAGTCAATGACAATTCCCTTTACCAAGCTGGAACGCTAACTAGTTATTTTTTCCTTTGTCTTAACAGTGACGTAGGATGTGGCAATTAAAGAATGGAAGGATACTTGCTTTATGAAACAATTTCAATTAAACAATTCAGTTAATAGGATTGTATAATTCTATTTTGAATTATTAAATAAAAGACACTACAAGAATGTTAAATGCTCAAAGACTTGATATACATTTTTCTAACCTGTTTACACGACTACACAGCTCCAGGTTCTCAACTATTATCCTAGTTGTAATAGAAACACAAGTAGTAATCTGAGAAGTGATATTTCAGAAAAGCAAATTAAGTGACAAAAATTTGCTATACTGTGCTAATTATGTTTGGCCTACATTACATACAATTTTTTAAAAAATCAATCAACATGAAAAACCAATAACCTGACGACATGGCCAAGAGCCACGTTTGAAAAAGAAGTTCTAAATAAATAGAAAGCTCTTGAGTTCTTGCAAAACTCCAATCTATAAGGCGTAGTTGATGGTTGCTATAAATGACAATATGAACAAAAACAAACTCTGCATAACCAAACCTTCATCATTTGTTTGGTGAATCGCCCTTCTCATGTCACTGATCAATGTATTTCAATATACTAAAGATTCATATATCAAAAATGTTTTAAATATCTTAGTCATTGGTAAAAGCACTTGCCTAACACATACAAGACTCTTGGGTTGGATCCCTGGCACCACAGAAAAAAAGAGAAATCATTACCCAAACTATCACACTTTTAAAAAGTGAGAAATTAAATACAACACTATATATCTATTGCCTAGTAAGATCATCTATAGTTGATAATTTATAAATGATAGTTACCATTTTACTGTTATAAAAACACTAGATCAATTAAAATATATCCTCATGCTTTTTGAAAAATCAAAGAAAAATGGTATTTCAGAGGGGAAAATCCCACAGAGAATAGTCAGTCCAAACACATCGTTTCTACTTACCCAGGCCAGGGCCTTCCTGCTTCATTGCTAAATATTGCTCCTATCAGTTACTGAAATACATCTGACTCTTTATTTTTAAAGCCAAAAGGGACCTATATTTCATGGACTACGTAGTTTAAAAAGTTAGGGATGGTGAAGACCTTCAAAGTTATGCCTAGCTTCTTAAAAAAGCATCCAAAACAGATGAAGAAAGAATAAATAAAAACAGTGAGGGCGGGGGCTCATCCTTGCCTATTACAAAAGCTAGAATACATTCTAGAAGATACAATTCTGAATGCAGGTTTCCTGCTAAATTCAATCGTTTTGTTTACACAAAGCCAATTCTTAGAAGTAGAGAAGAAAAGTGTCAGAACAATGAGCAACAATTTAGTGGGGGTGGGTGGAAGCTAAAATTTAGAGATCTCTTCTTCTGGACTTGCAGTATCTGCCTTTGTTACACTGTTGCCAAAAACTTCCCATGTCTAGACACCAAGCTTATAAAGGTATCAAGTAGTATCTACAGTGATACTGAGTTCCCATCTTATCTGATGTGTAACTCTAATGCAACATAAGAGAAACAATAAATACACACGAGAAAGAAGCGCAGGACCATCCAAGCAACACTTACATAGTCATGCCAGTAAACTAGCTTCCTGCGTGCAAGTTACTATTTCTGCACATACATAGGAAAAGTCATACAATAAGCATGATATGGCAACCTTGAGCTTGGTCAATGTTCAAATAATTTATCCCATTAAAAGCAACCAAATCCTAATATCCCTAACTCACCATTTTTCACTGAGCCACTACAATTGCTTATAATGAAAGGACTAGGAGAAATAAATCAATGGTGGGAAATATTTTAGTAAAATAGTGTTTCAATACAAAGAAAGCTTTCATTATACCACAACACATAATAATGAAACATTTTAGATAAAAGATACAGATGACACAAGATAAAAGCCATCATATAAATTAAATTTATATCCAGAAATATTAAAGAGACAAGTAATCTCCCTACTCTCTAGGTCACTGTTAATACTTTGAGAAACTGTTACTATATAGTCATTTTTAAAAATCAATATGTATACACAAAACATTTGGCCTGGTATTGATAGGATAGAAAGTAACTGACGGATTCTACTGGGAAGAAAGGAAGAAAGAAAAAAAATCTAGATTTGATGAAACTAAATATTTTAAATTTTAAAAATGTATCTGGCTCTGAGAATATGAATCTTCAAACATGGATAATAACTTTAAACCCAACAAATCATCTTTATAATCATTAATGAATGTTAATTTAAGTAAATCAACCTCAGATTCTGAAGGAAAGGTATGCTACAGCTTTCTTTAATTAAAAAAAAAATGACAGTACACTGGTTTTATCCAAAAAGTTAATTATTAACTGCTACATAACAAATAAATCATACTTGACTTTTGACACTATCTTTTAAAAAATTCAGGCCTCAACCTGAATTTATCAGATTTAAAGAAAAAGGATTAGGTAATACTTTATCAGATTTATCAGATTTAAAGTAAAGGGATTAAGTAATACTTTTTTCTTAAAACCAGGTTTGGTATCCTTCCTGTATTGAAATCCCTTCACAGGGTAAGGTGGGACAGAAAACCTGAGGCTACTACCATTCAGCAACAATGTTCTCTCATGACTTAATCTCAAAGGACAATCTTAAATTAATCCATACTCTACATCTGATTTCTCCTGAATAGTACCTACAGAATTTTTTCCTTTTAAATGGCATCTACCATGGCTAGCTCCACTGAATTAAATCATAGATCATGTTACAAAAGCAGTTACTGTTGAACTTGTCTGCTAGTAAGTGAATACTCAATACAGTATTTTAAAAGAAAACATTGACTA